TCCTGACCAGAGACCAGAGACTGTATATAAAGGTCCTGACCAGAGACCAGAGACTGTATATAAAGGTCCTGACCAGAGACCAGAGACTGTATATAAAGATCCTGACCAGAGACCAGAGACTGTATCTAAAGATCCTGACCAGAGACCAGAGACTGTAAATAAAGATCCTGACCAGAGACCAGAGACTGTATATAAAGGTCCTGACCAGAGACCATAGATTGTATATAAATGTCCTTACCATAGACTGTATATAAAGGTCCTGACAGAGTCACCTCAGCTCAGAGGCAGACCCCAGCACTAATCAAAGTTAACCTGTAGCTATAGAAGCCTCATGATGTCCAGTCTCTACATCTTTAATGTTTAAATTCATGTGTAAATGTTAATTAACTCGCTTTTTCCATGTGATCCTCAGAGTTATCTAAATAATTAATTGAGCATTAAATTCCCATATAAAAGTGGTGCCCAGGTTTTAGGGGGATTCTGGATGGTTTACTTTCTTTGGGTGACCTTTGAGTTTAAATTATCTGCTGCTTCTATTTGATATTCTTTCTTTCCTCTAATACATTTGACAACTTACTTAGATTCAAATGATGTGACCAGTTTCTAAATTATGACCCACTGCATCACTCAAGAAGGTCCACCACCATAACCTGCTAGAGAAGTACTTGTTTACAGTAGAAGGGCCCTGGCAGGACAGGGTGCTGAGAGGATATGTAGTACTCTCTACTGACCAGAGGCTGTAACTGCACGGCAAAAAACAATTACAATACTCGATTTCCATATATATTCTGTGTACACAATCTGAAGCACCTGTGTTAAATGGGATGTAGATGTTACTAACAAACATGGCTGGAAGGCAATAGTCTGCTCCGTGGAGGTTGGCTGCAGGGGTTTTATTGCAACGTCCACCATCAAGGTTGCTCAAAGATCTGGGGATCCAAAGACAAGCTATTCATCAGACCATAAAGTAAACAGCACACCCCAGCTAATGTTCTCTGGATTAGGAGAAAAGATCCCAACTGGGCCCCAAGATGCTAGGGACCTGCACCCAGGTCTGATCAACCTGTGGTGGGCCTCAGAAGAAGGGGGTCCTTACATCAACTCATGGTAGGCGTTAGTGAGATAGAACATATAAGGGATGTTCACCATCTTGTCTTCTGTTCTAAAATGATAAGGCAGAGGTAATGTCTGAACTAATACAAGGGCCAAACACTTGATATCTCTATGGTGCAGAGGTTACATCCCTAACATCCACTGGTGGCCATTAACCTCTGCAGGTAGTTAAATTAATCATGACTGTTGCATTTTGTCAAATTCTCTCTGCATGCAAGTATCTGTTACCTTAGAAATCCTGGGTGAATCACAAACAGGCTAAAGTAAAATACTTCTGATTTAATAAACTTTGATACTTTGCACTTAAGAGCCATTCATTGTTCATATACTAGTGAATGTGATGGTGATATTAAGTCCATTGCTGCACAGTTTAGTTTTCTTTATCACCATCAACCTAAATCAAACTCTTGAATACTTTCAGTCTATATCTTGCATGCAGCCTCTAAATGAGTCCGATGTCCACACCAACCTGAACACAATGGTGACGGCACAGTCACAACCCAGTAAGAGTCTCAGCAGATGTCACCAATCACAGGTAAAAAAAAAAAAGAATAAAGCTCTGACAGCAAACACTTTGGTGGAAAGAATTTATTGACGATTCAAAGAGCTGTACATCTATTTGCCTTTCTTGGCCTTGATCTTCCTCAAGTAGAACTCAAGCTCTTTGCCTTCCAGGAGGTAACCGTCCGCCCTGCCACACTGGCCGGGTCTGGAGGCGATGCAAGCTGCAGGAGAGAGAGAAACAATGTCAGTGACAGACAAAGTACTTTAGACAAAGAGGTAACAGTACTCATGACTGATGATTTATCTTCTATCAAACAGGGTTTCAAGTGGAAGTTTTCCAGTACACTTTCTACTACTTACAGCTATGTACTTTTCTAATACAGATATTAAATTAATTTAAGTTACAGATTAATCCCACACATGATTTGTTTGATTTCACATCCCTAAAATAACATTTAAATAAGCATCTTAGACATTGCATTAAGGTAATATGAAACCATTAATTGTGTCCTGTGCCAAATATTGAAATAAATAAATTAGGCCATCAACATAATGAAGCACAACTTCTATTCAAGGACATTTAAACCACTGGGCGGCTTTCAGAAACATTCAGGACAACACTTGTTAGACTCACCGAGCAGCTTTCCTTGCTGGAACTGCTCCTCCAAGAGGGGGCTGATCTTGGCAGTCTTTTTACGCTCGTCGTATTTCTTCTGAGTCCTTTTTGACCTCTTCTTGTTCAGGACCTCTTCCTCCTCAGGGGTCTACAAGAGAAGAGGAAACTAATTAGATGGACATGAAATACCTGCAAAGTTTACACTAACGATGGTGTCAAGTGCGGATATGTATTCAAGTCTTTTTCAGGCCGCCAGTCTTTCTCAGAGTCACTGTTATCATCTCTTTCATTCAGTAGCAGAACTGGACAAAGTTATCTTCATGGAAAGACGTGCGAGTACCAGGAAAAAATAGATGTTAATCTTTCTTATCTGTTCAGGGGAGAATCTGTTTCCACCCAAGACTGATCAATCTAGTTTAAGCCTATTGACACAGATTCTATACAAACACAGGAGAACGATATCACCAAACAGTTTTCCCACTTACCAGCTTGGCTCCCTTCTTGCGTCCCAGAGGAGTGGTGTAGTGAGCCTCATACCACTGCCTGTATGGAAGGCTGTCAACGAGGACGATGCAGTTCTTCACCAGGGTCTTGGTTCTGACCAGCTCGTTGTTGGAGGCATTGTAGACCACATCGATGATCCTGGTCTTGCGTGTGCAGCCTGGGTACAAAAATAAAGTAATGAAGAGAATGCAGACTCACCACTGATGTTTCAACTTTTGTCAAATCTTCAGAAATTCACAACATGTTAATGTCTTTCTCAGAGTCACTGTTATCAGCACTTTCATTCAGTAGCAGAACTGGACAAAGTTATCTTCATGGAAAGATAAGTAGAGCATCAAGGAATCTTACAAACTCCGAGTAGCATTAGATATGAACTTACATTCAGAGCCCCAGGAGAAGTTTCCAACATCTAACCTCAGAGCACGGTACTTCTTGTTCCCACCACGGACCCTCACTGTGTGGATGCGACGAGGTCCGATCTGAAGAAACAGACATACTTAATACTAGTACTATTATAAATCATTATTAAATCTAACCATGTGTGTTGCATGCATTCTGAAGGCGCGTGGACAACAGTAGCACAAACAAGCTTTGACGCGTGTCAGAGTAACTATGACAAGTCCTAACATTGGTATGTCCTAAGCTTTGAACCAAAACGGCCCAAAAAAAGACATACCTAAGGTCAGGTTTTCATCACCCACGCTTTATACCACACCAAGAACACTTCTGAAGATAGAACCACAGGATTTTATTCACCTTTGTGTTTGCAGGAGGACGCCCGAGCTCATACTTCCTCTTCTTGTGGTAGGGCTTGCGTTTACCGCCGGTTTTGCGGCGTTTATGCCAGTTGTCCCGTGAGATACCTGAAAGGATGGAAAAGGGGGTTAGATCAGCTCACGATTCACAAGGTGGTCACCACAAACTGATGGTTCATGCTTGAGTAATCAGTTCTCCAAGGTAGGGTTGTCCACATTTTAAATTAGGATTCCGCTAGTAGAGTTTTCATCATGTTACTCAAGCAAATTACCATCAAATCTAACAGGACTTGAGCTAAACTATGAACACGTGACCAGGCTGCAGTGACTTAAAAAAACTATTGTACATTTAATAAATTCAGTTTTAATCGTCTAGATTCAACTTATCCAACAAGGACGTTATTGTTTAAGTTCATTTGACAAAATTCCTCCTATCTGTGTCCTGGACCATTTACCACACAATTCAAGACACATGAATACATCAATTTTAACTATGTCAAATTAATGATTATTAACCAGCATTATTGGCAGTAGTCCCTAATCGCAGTTTAAATTTGATGCATATTCTGGTTTTTAACTCGTGAGAATATCTCACAATTTAAACTCAACTCAAGGAAACTACAGTCAAGAAGGCCACAAGCACATTTCTCCTCCACGTCTTCAGCCTAGATACAAAACCACTTTAAAAAAGCCAAAAGCACGCGAA